CTGACGTAACCTCTCAGTGCCTCAGATTCCTCATTTGTTAATGGGGACAGCAGTGCCTACCTCATTGGGTTGCAGTGGAACAAAATGAGAGTGGCTGCAGAGTCTTTAGCACAATGTCTTGCATACAGAAAGCGTTCAATAAATGTCTGTGGTAATTCTGTTTTGTGTCTCCCGTCCAAAGACCTCAGGCTCCTTCCCAAAGTGCTACCCACTGGTGGTTGTGAGTTTGGTGGCATCCAGAACATGGTCAAGACACTGGTGCCCTGAGAGCTGGGCACCTGCCCTTTTAGAAGCTGCTTGTGTTCTGGACAAACTTTCTAATTGGAAAGAACGTTACTATGATTGTCGTTATTTTGTGATACTGAGGATGGAACCAAGGGCCATCCCCATGGGGCTACATCCTTTATCTTTTTTTTTTTTTTAAATTTTGAGACAGGATCTCCCTAAGTTGTTAAATTACCCATGCAAACTTGGGATCCTCCTGCTTCAGCCTCCCAGGATGCTGGGATTACACGTCTGTGCCACCATGCCTGGCTAAGGGCATACATCATTCTGAGAGGTAGTCCCCTCAGCCATGAAGAGAATTTTTCTCAGGATATGGAAATAAGAAGAGCTTCAGGTTGTTCTCGTTTTTTATCTTTTTCCTACCCTCCCACACTCTCTGGGAATTCCCCTCCCCTTCACACAATTAAGTGTTCAATGAAAATAATATTCAACAGTCTGTTGCGGCCAGCAAAGTGGGATATTTCTTGTGTGGCTGATCTTTTGTGCCACCAGAGGCTTTAAACATTTGACATTTGGAGCTTCCTGTTATGGACTTTCCCCAAACCCTGCTGTTGCCCTTGGCTTATTGGAGAATTGATCAGATGCTGCTTTTTGAGACTCTAGGAGCATTCTCAACAGGGCAGGACCATCCCTGAGGGGCTGAGGATTGTTATATAGGGAGTCACACGTTGTTTTGGTGCTACTAGGGATTGACCTCAGGGCCTTCACACTGAGCTACATCCCTAGCCCTTTAATTTTAATTTTCTTTTTCTTGAGATAGGGTCTCTCTAAATTTCTAAGTTTCCCAGGCTGGCCTCAAACGTGTGATCCTCTTGCCTCAGTTTTCCAGAGTGCTGGGATTACAGGTGTGCACCTCTTTGGGGTGGGATCACACTTATCATGTATGAAATCAGATCTATTTAAAGTTTCTGGGGCTGTAACAAATTACCATAAGTGGGGGGAGCGCTTAGAACTGGTGGCTGCGGGAGTTTCCAGGCCTGTGGCCCCACCCCTCCAGCCTCTGTCTCTTGTCACAGTTTCCTCATGTGTCTCTTCTTACAGGGACACCAGTTTGAGGTTCATTCTATGTCGTTGTCTGGAGATCCTTAGCTAATTACATCTGCAAAGAGCCCGAGTCCATGGCCACTCTGTCTTGCACGCTGGGGCCCCTCACGCTGTAGCCTGTGCTTCTTTTCCTGCTTTTACTTGGTCCAAACTCGCTCTGCAGAGCCTGTTTCTTTTCCTACCTTTAACAAACTTTGCTACCATCAGACAACAAAAAGGCCCTATTTCCAAAGACCCTGCAGAGGTTCTGGGTGGATGTAGATTCGGGGGGATGCTGTGTAATCTCTCACTTGTCCATGCCGCATGTAAACAGTTGACAGTTTATCAGTGGTGTGCTGTGCAGAGTCCCAAGCTTGCTCACCCTGCCCATGGATCTGGATGGCCCAGGTGTCCAGGGGAAGTGAGATCTGTGCTCCATCCTTCCTGGGCTGCTCTGCCCTATGCTCTGGGGTTTGGGGCAGCCACAGTCCTGACGTCAGAATGGTGTGAAGGCTCCTCCTCAAGTACCGTCTGTCTTTCCCACAGCCTGTGGGGGCACAAAGCAGGGGCACTGGCTGCCACATACATCACAGGACTCTGGAAGGGTGGGAGGCCATGGACTGTCAGCTGGAAGGGCAGAGGAGGTGTGGCTCCTTCGTGGGATGGCCTTAGGGCCACCTGTCTGCCCAACTTCTGCCCGCACATGCAGCTGAGGGCAAGGGGATAATGCACCACTCGCTATGATTCTGTGGGTTTCTCCTGAGTGCAGGCAACAGATCTCAGAGGAACGGCCAGCTGACCTGTGGGTACCTTGGGTATGGAGAAAGGACAGCCCACCTGGGAGGACAGCTCCCGAAGGGATGAGAACTGGGATCAGGGCTTAGCTGCAGGTCTCTGCTGACGTCTGTCTGAGCCACTGATCCTCCCTGGAGGCCTCCTTGGGCCTAGGCCAGAGAGGACGAAACAGGCCCAGGGCTCCCTAGTGGCCCAGAGGCTGTGCCTGGGTGCAGACCTCTGGGACCTCATGCATGGGTCTTGGCCCCGGAAGCTGCATGGATACTTGCTGGGGCTTGGAAGGACAGGAGGCTGTGGCTCCCACAGAGCCCAGAGGCAGGGGCTGCTGCAAACTTCTCCCATCCACGTCCCCTCCCCTCTGTCAGTTCCATCCCCACCAGGGCACCCATAAAGAAGCACAATTTGAAGCCTGAGAGAACTTCCTGGGGCAGCTTCTTCTGAGACAGATTCCTTTCAGAAGCTAGCAAGAGCTGTGGATACACACACTCAAATTTTGCTTTGAGTTTCATGGTTCAAAGACAGCCTGCCCCTGGCTCCAATCAGAACCCATCTGGGGTCCCTCCCAAAGCTTAAGTTCCATGAAGGGCTGTGCAGACACTGACATGCATCATGGGGATAACTGTCACATGCACAGAACTCTCAGGCACACTGGGCTGCAGGGACTGTGGTCCACAGTTTGTCCACGGAAGGCTGCCTGACCCATGAATCCACACCTTCCTCTCCAATGGCTGCCTCTGGTGGCAGTATACCCTTTGTCCCTGTGGAAATGACCCCAGGAGCAGCTATGACTTGTGATGAATGAGTGCAGGCTGCTACACACCCCAGCTCCCTTGACCTCCAGCGATACAACTGAGGCATGTGGTACAGTTTCCTAAGGTCTCCGGAAGCACTGAGGCCCCTGCCCGCGTCAGTCCCCTGATCATTAGTGCACCTGTCCCGGCTGCCTTCTATTTCTGTTCCTCACCAGTGCTCCTGGGGTCCTCTCCCAAATGAACCACTTGCTCTTATGGCCTTGTCCCAGGTTCTTGCTCTCCAAGCCTTGTTTCTGGGGGCCCAGCCTAAGTCAGGGTGGTTATTAAAGGAAGAGGGCCTGGATGTTTTTCAGCAAAAATAGTGGTTATTCTTATGACAGATTAAATCCCAACACGTTGGGATGCTGAGGCAGCCTCCATTGTACATTCAAGTCCAGCCTGGGAAACTTAGCGAGACCCATCTCAGAAAATAAAAAAGCCTAGGGCTACGACTCCGTGTGAAGGCTCTGAGTTCACTTCCTGGGCCTGTCAACCACAAAACAATCCCATAGGGCCTTGGGGAGGTTCACATTGCCCTGTACATCTAAGTTACTTAGCCGGGGACCCTCTTCAGGTGTGGCTGTGCTCCCCCTGGGCCAGTGCATGGTACTGTCACTTACTCATCTCAGCTTCCAGCACAGCAAAGGACAAAAATGTCCTTTCAAAGGTCAAATGTCCTTTCAAAGATGAATACATCTTCACAGATGTATTCAGGACAGTCTGTCACTGAGGCTACTGCCTCAGGCTCCTAAGGGGCGCTCCTGCTAAATGCAAGATCCCCTTCCATTCCCCAAGATTCTGACTCAGCATGTCTGGACAGGGCCCAGTGTCTGGAACTGTATAACATTCCAGGGGAATATACTTCAACCTGCAGTCAGGCTTGGGAACTACTTATAGGAATATGCCCATCAGGTGCCCTCTCTCACAGCCTCTCAGGAGGCGGAGGCTGCATCCCCTGAATCTGAGTTGGTCTGGTGACCTCCTTTACCCAACAGAAGGTGGCAAAGTGAGACATCAGTTAGGAGAGGTGGTCCTGCACACCTCTTCCTCTTCACAAAGGTGTCTCCCTCTGCTTCCTTCTCTCGGACCCACCTGCATCTTGAGCCCCACGCCTGATCTGGCCTTCTGAAAGATGAGACACCCTGCAGAGCCGAGCTGTCACATCCCAGGCCAGGCAGCTTTCTGCTGGCTGATCATGGACACACATGAGCACAGCTGAAATCACTGATTGCATCCCAGGTCAGTGGAATGCCGCAGGTGACCCCAAAGCATGACAGAGAGAAATTTCTTAAAATAACTGGTTGCTTTGTGCCCCTGAAGTTTTTAAGTGTCACATGGCAACAGATAACTGAACGTCCACATTCAGGGGCCTGAGGCTACTTGACAATCTGCTGAAAGCTGTGTGCCTCATGCTCTCACCTAAAAAAGTTACACAGTGACCAAAAAAAAAAAAAAAGGGCTGCACAGAGCCTGGACCTCACAGGCTTTTTGAAGCCCATATATGGGTCACCAGTGACAAGCTCTGACATTCCCAGGGCTGGACAAATCAGAGACAGAAGCGACTATTGGGTCTGCGATGCTCAGAGGGCAGCTCTGACCAGGGAGACAGTCACCGCTTGGCCAGGGCTGCTGGAGTGCTCGCTTCTAAGAAGAAACCAAGCTGGAGTTTGTGCGGACTCCCTGACCCTAAACGGAGGTGACTAAGCCCATGCTGGTGCATGCCTGTAACCCCAGTTGAGGCAGAGGAGGGTTGTGACAGTCACTCTGTGAGGGTGAGGCAAGAGGATGGCAACTGAGTGAGACCCTGGCTCAAAATAAAAAAAATTTAAAAAGGACTGGGGAGATATTTCAGTGCAAAGGCCTTGAGTTCAATCCCCAGTACCACAAAAACAAAAACCATAGGTGACCAACTCAAATTCTATGAAATACAGTGAGGATGAAGAGGAACCCCTGCTATCAGTACGTGATCGACAGGCACCAATAGAATCTGGGGCTTGCTGGAAACACAGGCCCTTGGCCCCACCTGAAAGTGACCTGTGTGCTAGAAGAGCACTAGCCCACCTGTGAGGACCCCAGGGTCCCATATCCAGGCTCAGAACTCTCACATTTCCTGGTGACAGTTTAGTACCAATTTATTCAAGTGATAGAAAAATCCTCTGGCAGTAGGAAGACGAAACAGCAGGTCTATAAGCTGGGCGACACCATCCCTCCTGCTGGTCCTTCTCCTGAGGAGCTTCCTATGCCGGCAAGACAATTCTAGCCAGCAAATCTGTGATGAGGTCAGCATGACGCAGCCAGAAAGGGAGACTCAGACCTGTAACTCACCCCTGTGCGGTGCAGTGGCTGGGATTGGCCCACCACAACTCCATCAGTGAGACTGGGGCCTCTCTGGCAGCGGCACAGGCCCCCTAGGGGACAGGTCTCTGAGCAGCAGATACAGGCAGGTGGGGAAGCAGGTGTGGTCTCTCTGGGACATTGTATTGCTGGGGTGGCACGCGCCACAGCAGACAGGTGAAGGCTGGGGCACAGCTACCATCAGGAGCTTGGCTGCAGTGCTGGGGGCAGAAGCCACCTGCAGGGCCCCCATCAGTGGCTCTGGACGCGCCCCTGCCGAAGCTGGATCGTGCAGATATGAGCCTTTGGACAGGCTACCTGGGTGGCTCTGGAGTCAGTCCCTGAAGGGGTTGTGGGTGTCCCCAGGCTGCTCCTTTTCGGTGGCCAGGAGCTCCCCATTCATTTCCTGCAGTGGGTGGTACACGTAGTCTCCATCCAGGTGCCGGTTCCTCTCTGCCCTGGTGCTCAGCAGGAAGGATACATTGGCCACAGTGCTGAGCACGAGCAGGAACACCAGGGTCAGGGTGAGGGCCAGCCAGCTGGTCCTGGGGACAAAGAGAGACCCAGTAGGGGGCCAGGTAGCAGGCGGGGCCCTCCAGGGCCCACACTGGTCAAATGAGATCGCCTGTGCTGAAAACAAAGCAACCAGCAGCACCAAGTCTGAGCATTCAGAGTGTCAGAAAGAAGTCCCACAGGCCCTGGAGTCTGCAGTGGGTCTGAGCTGAGAAAAGGAGTCACGAGTCTCTGAGGCCAGGGAGTCGAAGTCCATGGCCTTGTGCCTTGGCTCCCATTGGGGCTGGGACCTGCAGACCCTTCCTATCAGCTTTCTACACTGTCAGGAGGCTGCCAGCCTCAGCTGAGACTGTCCCCCTGCTTACAAAGCAGAAATGCTACCTGTATCCCCCGATAATACTTCCTGGCCTCACACAGCCTGGATAGACACCACGTTCACAGGCCAGCGGGAGGAGACCCAGCTTCCACCAAAGCACCCACCTGGAGAAAAAGGAGAGCTCTCCTGCCCTCGGGGTGACCTCCAATGGCTGCAGACACTGCTTCACTGCAAGACATCAGAGACAGGCTAAGGGCTGCAGGAGGTAGGGGCTCAGCCTCCCTGTCCCCAAGGTCCCAAGGGGCCCTGTACCTTGAGAGATGCTACAGTTTCCCATCTGGGGGTCACAAGGACACTGGTGCTCACACTGGCAAGGCTTCTGGCAGCCTGGCCCATACCAGCCAAGGGGACACTCTGCAGAGGGGAGACAGGAGGACAGAGGTCAAGGCCATTCTCTGAAGGAAAGATGGGCCCCAGCAGTGTGCAGAGCTGGGCTGAAGGAGGAGCCCCTTGCTCCCCTCGGCTGGATCCTGAATGAGACCTGACCTGGAAACAGGGTCTGTGCAGTGTCGTTAAATCAAGGACCTCAAGATGACATCACTCTGGATTTAAACCCCAGAGCCTCACTTATGACCTGGGGTTCTTATGAGAGAACAGGAGAATGAGGAGAGAAAGAGAGAAAGTAAGTGGCTGAGACTAGACAGATGCCACCCAAGCCCTAGAAGCCAGGGGAGCTGCCTCCAGGCAGAAGTCTCCTTTCCTGGGGCTGTGAGGGGCAGTGTGGCCCCCACCCATGATCCTTCACTTGCGGCCCCTACTTTGACTCTGGTCACCTGCTTTGTGGAATATGCTACAGCAGCCATAGGAAACTCACACAGGTTTTTTCATGCAGTATCTGACCCCAGGCCCTTCCGAATAAGCTATGTCCTCAGCCTTTTCAAAATTTTGAGACAGGGTCCCACTAAGTTCCTAAATTGCCCAGAATAGACTCAAACTAGTGAGCCTCCTGTCTCAGCCTCCCAGAGGGCGGGGATTACAGATGTGTCCCTCTGCACTGGCCTCCTGCAGAGACCTACATGTGAATAGTCACAGAGAAGAGGCAACTTTCCAAGCAGAAGGTAGGACACAGGCAGGTAAAGAGCTTGGAGTCACTAGGGTCTGCTGGGGCCGGGAGGGGGAGCAGGGGCTCTCACCTTCGCTGCAGTTGGACCCCGTCCATCCAGCGTCGCAGCGGCAGCCAGCTGCCAAGACAAGACCAGGAGGCTGGTGAGGGTGGGCAGGGTGGGAGGCGGGGCCGTCGGGCCCAGCAGCACTCACCTTCTGTGCACAGCCCGTGGCCACTGCAGTTGGCTGGGCCGCAGTCCAGCTCGTTGCAAGCGGCGCCCCGCCAGAAGCGCCCCTCACACTCGCAGTGGCCCTCCACGCATGTCCCATGGCCACTGCAGTCAGGTGGCTGGCAGCGAGGCTCATGTACACACACCACGGTGGACACGTGGCGGGGACAGCGCCACATGTTGTCCTGGCTGCGGGGAGGGATGCAGTGTGTGAGGAAAGGCTGTAGTGCTGGCCTGAGCTGACCCCCACTGCAGGGGTGAGGGCTGCTCTCCTCCCACACCAGGGCCTTTGCACATGCTGCACTCTCTGCCCACAAGGTGCTCCCATCTCCCAGCTGCCTCCTCATTCCTTCAATCTCAGCTCTTATTTCACAGTCCTCAGGGAGGTGTTTCCTGATCAACTGGCCCTTGTTTATAGGTGTGGACAGTACTGAGAACAGGGATCTCAGCTCTCTAGTTTAATTCTGAATTCCCACAGCTTGGTGCACAGCAGGGGCTCAATATTGCTCAGCTGGAGGTGGGCCTAGACGTTGACCTTTCAAAGCAGACTCAGGTGTGCTTACCAGTGATCTGACGGGTAACTAGCCAGGGTCCCATTGAGCACAAACGTGGCAGAGCCGCCCCCGTCCAGGTTGATGGCGTTGACCACACCCTGTCTCAGCAGGAACTCCGCCATCTCCCACAGGTTGATGCTGCGGCACAAGGGCAGCACTGTTGAGCGCCCCCACTTCTGGCTTATCTTAGACTCAAGGGCACCCAGAGCTGTGGTATCCTAATCCCCCAAGGTGAACACAGGAGACTTCGCTCCTGTGAGCTTGCTGGTATGTGGCACAGGTGTCCTAAAGGGAGGAAGATGAGGAGTTCTGGAAGTGGGGAGGACTTATGGGCCCCTCTTTATACGAAGAGGCCAGGGCAGCTTCGTGGCAACATCCCCAAGAGTGGGTGGGTCGGAAGGGCACTGCCACGGGATGATATGGGACTCAGCTCAGCCCCAGAGGCCTCTGCCCTCAGAACTCACCCTCGCTGCTCCGTCTGTCCATCTGCATGGAAGAGCACCAGCTGCCCATCACGGTCATGGCCCACAGCTGTCCTGGCTGACATCACGTTCACAAACTTGCTGAAGGAACCTGAGGGAAGAGCGGCTTGGCTGCCAATCTGGCCCTCCAGGGGCCTCAGGGCTCTGCCTCCCACTTCTCGCCACATATCACTCCTCACGCCCCAGTCCAGGCCATGTGGCCTCTGCCCTGGATGCACAACAGCCTCCTCACTGGTCTCCGCGCCTCCCCTCTGCCCTGTGCCAGCCGGCCCTCACCTTGGCAGCCAGGGGGCTTGCTGTACACCAAGCGACACCAGCCTCCAGTGGAGATGCGCTAACAGACCAACTGCACACTCCTGGTACGACCTCCTGGCCTCATCCTGCTCACTTCCTGGGACTCCGCTCCACAGTCACCTTCTGCCTCAGGGCCTTTATACTTTCTGTCCCCTCTAGCTGTGAACTGTACTCCCCAGAGCCCTTTTCACGGCTTGCTCCTTCTGATCCAAGTCAGGGAATCCAGTGAGGCCATTCCCTGACTGTCTACCCTAAAACAGCATGAATCAGGGTCAGGGCACCCCCCCGGCCCCCAGTGCTCGGCATCAGAGTGCTGCTCAACTTCAGTGTCCATCAGAGTCACCCAGGGGGCTCAGCCAGGCATGGTGGTGCACGCCTGTAATCTCAGCACTCTGGGAGGCTAAAGGAGGGGCACTGAAAGTTTGAGCCAAGTCTGGGCCATTCAGTGAGACCCTGTCTCAAAAAAAAAAATAAAAAAACAAAAAAAAACAACTACCAACAATTCCTTAAAACATAGACTCTTGGGGGCTGGGGATTTAGCTCAGCGGCAAAAGCGCCTGCCTGGCAAGCGCAAGGTCGTGAGTTC